GACTCAGATACAGTCAGCAGTTGTAGAAACGGTGGCTGACCAAGATATCACGAAAACCCACGAAACCACGAAAATATGCCTTAAGATTAGTTTGTGAGACGCATACAGAAAAGTGGTTTCCAGTTTGTCACGCCATTTGAAAATTCTTTACTTTTGTTGCGTGTAGTTGGTCCCTTTCGATGTTTGAGGTTCGAGTAGCCTTTTTGTTTCTGTTGTCCAACGTTTCTTACTGTTTGCAGTTTTTATTATCTTTCTTATCTGAATTTTATCATGAATTTTGCTTGTGAACAGCTCTGTGCCAAAACTCCAATCGTCGGAAAAAGTAGAAGGGTTGTATCGCATCTCAAGCCATTGTACAGTTGAACAGTTCATTTCGTTGATGTGTGTTAAACCGAATTTCTGGTGGCAATATTTTAGTGTTGATAAGCACTAAACTCGTTATTTATGAACCGTTAAAGCAAACTGACAAGACGGTGGTGCAGACGGTAGTCGTTAACCTTTGTACATTAGAAAAAATGGAAGACTTGTAGCTGTTGGGATGTCGGTCTACTTTACACCTTTAAGACTGGGGGTCACATATGGCACCGTTATATTTCATAAAGTTTAGGGTGGGGCGCTTTATTTCCATGTCATCAATCAGGAGTGCCTTATTTTAAACGTATTCTCTATAGCTATGTGAGCGTAGCGTGGAGTCGCTTTTCTTCCCACAGGGTGCTAGTCATTTATCAACCTTATATGAATGAAAGGCGAGTGACTTCGTCCGGGGCTGGAACACGTGACCTATCGGTTCTGAGTCTGACGCTCAACCGACTGAGCAATTCTTCTGAACCTTAGAGGAGCGGGTAAGAATATAAGCGCGGCGTAAATTTTTCTTGTTAACCGTTAATTATTACTGACAGAGAATTCACCTCATTGTATCGGCACAACTCTCTGCGCCTATAAGAGTGCCAATTTTTTTACCCGCGTACTACGGGGATGGTGTACGGTATTCTGAAGTGGTTTTCCTGAGCGTGTCAGGCAGTGATGTATGTGCGCATCTTACGACTGCGATTCGCTTTGACGTTCCTGATCAAAAATCAACGCCAGGTGCAACCCGTAAATACAACAGAAAACCGTGCTTTTGCCTTTTCTCTCAGTTCTTTGGAATTATGATTTCTCATTTTGTCGTAAGTTTACGCGTGTACGTTCGTTTAGGTTACCGGAAACAGTGAACGAGTTCCGAACTTATTGATTGCGGTCGCCTCGCACTACGTGCACAAAACAAATATGCATACGCCGGAACTCGCCGATATTCTGGAAAAGATTAACCAGCGTAGAAATATGTACTCTTGGCTGGGCGATAATTGGAAGTGGGCGGTTACCGTTAGCGCCTGGACTGTTGACTACTCTGAGATCTACTTGTAAACGGAACTGAGGACAAATTCAAACGTCTTGTTTTGTATACTCTTGCGTTGTTAACTTTGAGCCTTTCTTGTAGTTGTGACTTAGTTTAATTTGCATTTGCGAATGAACGTTGATGCAATGTAATCGTGCAGCCATTGGCTGCCGGTCACTACCTCACCAAATGTTGTTGCGGACTTAGTCTTATTTGTGTGATAGCAAGGTAGCATTCCGGATGTTTTGTTCCGTTTGTCGCATCTTCGTGTTTGATTGAGATACAGTTTTTACCAAAAATGACCTACTTAACGAGTTTTTCTCAACCTTTTTTGAAGTAAAAGCAGTTCTAGATATTTTAATGCGTTGTTATTGCTTCTAGAAGCGCCGAAAAATTATCAGCCGTTATTACTTGCTATGAAACTCGTACCATCCTGAATGTTCGGGTCAATCGATTTAATCGAAACCCCCAAAGATAACGAGTTTGAGTCTGGGTAACGATTATCGTCTTCCATCTATCTAGGGGAGATAAGTGAATTCCACTCTGTACAATTAGAGTCAGGAAATTCATATAGTTTTGTATTTCTTCACTAACGACCGTTACTTCAAATTTTCTCCATCGAGCCTTATCTTATGCGCCTTACTTCTTCATACTGGTAAATTTAACGATTTCTCCTTATGACGGCCTCTGGTGCCTCCTTTGTGTTGGCCATGTTCTGTATTGTAAGGTGGGTTCATTTATGACTCCCTTGGTACTGTCCTCAAACAAGTCCATTCAATTGGCTCACGATTATAATTTGAGGTAGTTATATCAAATATCGTGATCGTAGTCAAATAAGATGCCGTGTTTTATCAGCGTTGATCGCTTTCATGTTTCATGGTACATTCACGTTCGGTCGGTAACAGTAGTACAAACAGTTTACTTGCGTTTTTGCTTCCATGATCACAGTACGTTAAAATACCAAACTCTAGTCTTAATTTAATCATTTAAATTCAGAAGAGAAATTTTTCGACCATGACAATCAAGCTTTCTATTAAAGCAACATTTTACTTGATCGCTCCAGAAAACAATACAGATCACATCGTATCTACACAAATGATATCTTTTTCGGCTAGTTTCTATCACAGTTATCACACAGTCTTGGAATGAAAATGAATATGTTCTTAACTTTAGGTCGCAAGCCTTATTTGAACTAGACTTGAAGCTTCTGCGAAAAATTAACTGTTAATCACTCGAGTAGAAACCCAGCAGTAACTCGAACAAATAAAACCGGAATAAACATAAAATTAAGCAGTCTACGTTCGATGTGGCTGGAGCTTACGATTCTGCGTTAACAACGTATGCAGTTCACGTTAGTCCAAATCTGCACATCGAACAGCCCAGGTTGAACTCGGTTTCAGCTGTGCCATATAATACTTCAAGAGGGCAATAAATGAGTGACGATCCACAAGGAAACGGCTGAATCCGTTCAGACGGCCTTGAGACGGTGGCCACGCGCTTAGCGTAACAGTCAACACAGAGATGCACGCCGTCGAACGAAAAGAACACAGCAATAGAACTACACTCGTGGCATCTGTACCGAAGATACTGCACTCCGTGCTTTGAGCACGGAATAGCTGCAACGTCGATCAAGTCGTTGCAGGCCGTATGAGTCGAGCAACCACCGCAAAGCATTTCCCGTATATCGAAACGAACCGAACTGCGCGGAACGGAGTCTCGGAATCCACCAAAGTAAAACATCTTGCACTTAAAGCACCGGAAATACACGACTCTTTGCAAAGGCCAATCGCTGCATGACTCCAACCCTACTGGCAAGCGCTCTCCCTTGGCCAGCAGCCATTTAATGGAACGCGACAACAGCTCCGCCTTCAAGTCCCAAATCGGCTGCAACGCTTGCTCGAGAAGCGGATGTTCGAACGTCTTGTGACATGTCGGACATGTACAAAAGTCGAACGACACTTCTGGTCCTCTCCAGCCCTTCTTCAACACGTCCAAGCAACAACGATAGTGAAAAATGTGGCCGCACGACAGCTGAATACAAGGCGCATCCGCTAGTCGTAGCCATCTGCAAGCGGGGCACCCGTCATCGGCGTGCTGTTTTTCTCGGTACTGTTTAGAACAGCTAAAGAAACAAAATATACTGCAGTACTAATCGTTGATGACATATAATGAAAGATAACCAGCAGGACCATTTAAGGAATGCGTTTTGGCATAGGTATCATTAACATAAGCGAAAATTAGGAAAAAGGAGGTAGGTGCTGAACAACGATGAACAATACAGATGTAGATCTGTGACTGAACAGGAATGCTACTTTCGCGATTGAACCGGCACCTTATGTATAAGAAAAGTCCTGGAAGCCAACCATGACGTCTTGCAGCCTGTTTTAACACAAATGACAAAAAGAAGCTCTACAGAAAAGTCGAAAACTTACCTAAACACGACGATCGTGCATATAGATATTACTTTGTTTCGGATGGAGTTTCCAACCCCCCTTCAGTCCAGTGATAAAACTCAGATTTACCAACAGTATACATACGGTTAGCAGATCGATGCCGCGTCAACCACAACTTTGGTCAACAAGCTTGATCTAGACCATCTGCCTCCCAGCAACGAAAAGGATAGGAAACTTCAGCCAAAACCTGGCCAAGTTCATATACAGAATACGCCGTGTGCTCATATTTCTAGTAAATGTTCCATGCTTGCACTTCACTTACGATATCATGTTTATTGGGATAACCTGAGAACCCATCGTTAAGACTGTAATGTTTTTGGCATCCTTAAGTGACGATCTTACTATAGCAGTCTAGAGCGAATTTTGTCTTCGGTTACTGTAACGGTTGTACAGCAAGTTCGGTCAGATATCTGTTTATGCTTAACTTTGCAGCACTGCTTTTGTTTATGATTATTTATGTGCATCCTTTGTTTGAACTACTGAAAAAGG